TTTTTCAAATTTAGTTAGCACTCAATCCAAAAATTTTAACTGGCCTGGTAGCCTACATATATTCCCATTTTTTTTTTGCAGATGTACGAAAATGCATTCACCACATGCCACAAGCAAAGGATATTTCTGAGTCAACAGACATGGTCAAGCTCACACATCGAAGCACCAATCTTGCCAATCAATGTCGCGGTAAGCATAGGCATGCCCAGGTTTCGCCATTGAATGGGAGGGGGCAAAGCTTTACTGCAGCACTGTCATTACGTAGTCAAGGCTCCCGTCAAACAGGGTTGTCAGATTTGCCATGTTTCTTTAGGTCAGTGACAGCAGAATAAGATGTCTTGGTTACTTCACACGGTGTGTAGAGGTCCTTGAAAACTTCGAAAAACCTTCGATTTGAAAAATGCATCTTCAAGGCCCTTAAAAGTTTTCCTCATCCTTGAAAATCCTTGAATTTTCTGAGCACTCCCAATTGACATTGCAGCCTCCTTTATGCATACTTGTTGATTCTCCTGGATTTCGATCAGTATTTATGTTCGTATAATTGTCAGAAAAATCTCCCAGAAATTAAAATTTCTATAAGTGATCTGGTAGCAATTACAAAAATGCAGCCCAATCCAACCGAGGCTTTCTACGAGCCCATCACATTCCATTGTGAACGAATTCAGGAGGCCTTCATCTTAACGCACAGTAGAATCTAAATTATGCAAAACCGGAAAATGTACGAATTCATGAAGTTCCCCAGCCAAGCTGCACTATGTCCATTGGGGTGAAATTCCGATGTCCCAAGCTCATTTCCTCCTCGCGGCGGGTCGTATGAACTCTAGTGCCGAAACCATGGAACGAAGGACCAAGAGCAGCGTGCTCCAAGCTTCGGAAGGACACGCGCACCCAGCCACGCACTGTACAGAGCTGCGGTTATCGTTTGCTACAACCGATCAGGACAAAACAATGGTCGCTCTTGACACGATCATGTGTGGCGACGACGATACAGAACTGCGAAAGTGCGCACACCTTCAACGCTTGACCAATTAAAGCGACGAAGCTTTCCACAATTTCCGCAGACAAAAATCATGGTTTTGATGCTACGTTCGCAGCCAGTGCACGTGAATTGAAAATGAAACTACCCGTTTCGGCAACCATAGCGTGGGAAACCGTGGTTGCGGACACTGCTAACGCAGCGGGCAATAAAGATGTAAAAAAATGCTACAAGCGTTTTGGTTTTCCTTCCCTAAAGAATAGGCTAACGTTGTTCCTGTTGGTCTGGGTACCTTGGCTATACTTAGATGTTAAGTTTTAAGTCAGCCTTAAGCAAAGCTTTGATCCGCGCTTTTCCGGCAACCTGGCTGTGTCGTCCCATATATTCGCTTGAGTCCCAGGAAGATATACGCTAGCTACTTTGACAGAAATAGATTTTGCTAGCTGTTCTGACGTTGAAAATTTTAGAGGTACAAGTAGTACGTTTCGCACCCTTTCGAGACTCGCACTTTTTACTGTAGTTAGAAAACCCTACCCTCTTGTGTCCAGCCACTTCAAGTTGGTATTAGACTGCGCAGCGCCGATGTTTTCTCGCGATGTTTTTCTCTTAGGTGCAAAAGAAGAAAGAGGTGAAAATAAATCGGCGCGACACTCCCCCCCTCCTCCCGACTGCAGAAATCTCCCAGATTCAGAATCTTCGACCTTGGCAGGTATGGATCGCCTGTCGACCTGACCAACTCTCCATTTCCGAAACAGTAATTTGGCATGAGTTGATATGGTTTCGTTATCCAAAACTCCACGAGGAATAAAGTTTTGATGCGTTAAGCCACAAACAAACGAAGTGAAATACTCTTAATGCTCTTCGGTGCTGGCTCCTTTCCTATTGTGCGAGCAGTGAAGCTAGTGATGCTAAAGTCAGCTAAAGTGTAGACTAAACATGTTTGTTATAATTGCGGTATGCATGTACTATATAAGTGCAATAGTCAATTTTGAAAAATTCAGAGTAAAAAATTTTCAACAATGCATGCCACTTTTAATCATTGAAAAACCTGTGACAGGTCCTGGAAAGTCCTTGAATATCCTTGATTTTTCGCTTTGGGAACTTGCACAAACCCTGCTTGACTATCTTCTGGCTATTTTTGTGTTCCCCCAATTTGAATCAAATTAGAAACACAAAGAAAGCCTGTTAACTTGACACTTGTTAATGAAGAAAATTAGATGATTTGGACGTATCCTTTGATCCTGGCTAGCCAATGTATTGTTCAGTAGCATCAAACTCTTGTTAACTCAGTCACATTTGGACAGAAGTCCTTTGATATGGACTATTTTCAAAGTGCACCGAGCAAAAAGCACTGCAAAGGAGCAAAAACAGCGCTTGCGGACGGAAACGAGGTGGAACAAAAACAGCGCTTGCGGACGGAAACGAGGTGGAACTGCTACCAGTGTGAACTGTGCTGGTAGCGTTCCGGCTCAATTTGGAATTCGTGTATTTTGGGAACGTTAGGATGGAGAGGTCTTCAGCTGCAGTCGCATTGAGAGCAAAGTCACAAGTGACGTAAATTGCAGCTTTTACACTGCTCCTAAGTACAAGATTTACATTCATGCAGAAAATTAAAGTGTACTGACATAATAGACATTTATCTCTTGATACCTTCGAAAGTTATGAATTCGATTCATTCCGACATTTTTTCCAGTCAAGTCCAAATTAACCGAATTTTCTGCATAGTAGTTTCTGACAGGAAATATACATAGTCATACCTTATTTACAAGTTCAATACACTCCAGCCAGCAGGCATAAATGGGGGCTCGTGAATCCATTCGATATAGTAGATACGAAACGAAAACCAGTGAGAGCACAACCTCTTTCTAGACCCTACCCTTAATAGGTGGTACTTCTTTTGAGAAGCAGAGAAACTTGCACCCCTCTCTTGCTCTTTATTTACAGAATGCTGGTTAACTTTCACGCATATGGCCAGCGGGAGCAGTTGCCTTCTCCCCCTCCTTTATTTGAATAGGAATAGAGGGTACAAAACGGAATCAGTTCTAGCCCCGAAGGAGACAAGTGGACTCGTCCAAAACGACGGCTTGAGCACAAAACCTATGTTTAGGAGTTTGTCGATTCGAGCAACTGCGATTTCGGGCACCACACTGTCTGTGGGTTCAAGACCTTTTAAAGAAACACTCGTAAAAAAGCCCATGGGCCTTTTTCAGATAGGTAGTGTGTGCATGCGCGCCAGCCTCGAGGAGGCACAGGCCATGACTTTTGGTGGCAAAGCATGACAACACATGTGGACCAAGCGACATCTGGTGCCATAAACATGCAAATATTTGTGGCACCAGATGGCGCCTGAATAGAAGCGCGAATGCAGGGCTCCAAGATCGCCTACCGCCTTGAGGAGGACAATTTCGGAGTCCAAGGGCCACCAGTGTCGATTTCGGCACTCTCCACTTGGGGTGCTGTTCAGACTAGGAAAAGGCCCATTTTGCAACAGCGCAAGAAACTTGGTCATAATGTCGCAGAACGCTTTGCTAAGGTCAAGAAATCATGCTTAAATCTTAGCAATTCTTCTTTTGAGATGTTGACCCTGCACTTATTTACATTATCACTCTAAAGATTTAGTCATTGGAATAAAACCTCGCAGTGTTTTTTTTTTTTTTTGGGCAATCTCTAGCCCTGTAGCTCCGGTTGGCTAGTTTTCCCAGTTCCGCGGTTATAGTTTGTCCTTTTGACTTCACAACCTTGCCTGCAAACACGTGAGTCATGCATTGTAGTGCAGCATACGGCTGGGAGTTTCACAGTTAAGTTTCAGAGTCAGCTAGGAATTGCTCGCTCTTCTCTTGATCCAAAAGAAACTTGACCCAAATGCACACACCATTCATAATGAATTGAATGGGGCAGCATTAAAACGAAACACACGAACAATGAACAAGCAAAACACGCGACTAGTGTCTTTTTTCGTTCGTGTGTATTCGTCCTAACGACACCCCATTCAATCCATTATGAACGATAACCGACTAGCCTACCTTTCCGTTATTTTGCACACACATTGGCTGACTTGAGCACCGTGAATGCTTAGTCACCTCTGTACTAGAGTTACACTACTATAGAATTGTACCAGTATGCTCGTGATCACTTGGAAAGTGAGCCGTGCATTCGAGAAAAGAAAAACAAGCAAAGAAAGCGGTCAAGGTTACGAGATGCAGTCTCCCTGCGAGTTTCACTCCTGCTTGATGTATTCTGAAACACTTGCGGCTGTCAATTTGGGAGCCAATAAACTGCGGTAGTGAGGTCATTCAATGATTACTCGAAAATTTGTTGCAGGGCCCCTTCCAGGGGCGGTGAAGGCCACCGTTGTGCTCACTGCCTATGACGGTGAGCTTAATTGGTGAAACACCCTTTGTTGGCATTTCTTTTGCTTAGGATGAAGTCTGATGGTGTCATAAAAAGCACTTTTCTTGATCACTTGTTGAAGGTTGAGCCTATCTTAAAGGGACACTAATGAACAAAATTATTTTTCGCATGTTAGTTAGTATAGTACAATTTCACAATCCTGAAAACACCACTTTTACCTCAACACGATGCTTTGTAAGCGAGAAAACGTGTGAAAAGAAAATTTGGTTGGCGACACCACCTCAAAATTCCCGCACCAAACACCATGACGTAAGAAATTTTGAAAGTGTTTACTAGGTCCTAGGTAGCTCCCATTAAAAAAAAAATGAAGTTCATTGCAATTTGTGGGTGCAATAAACTTAGCATACAAAGTTTCAGAAAATTGCTTCGAGCCAATGCCACAAAAATACCGAAAATATGTTTTGCAATTTTTACGGCAGGTGTGGATAATTTGGTTCAAAGTTTAAAAATGAAATTTCAGCCTTTATTTTCTCCGCTAATGATAGTGACACTATGGCACTAGAGTTCTCAGAGCACAGTTTGTCAATCTAAATCAAGTCATTGTACCTCTTTAGTGTTCCTTTTAAGCCTCAAGTCAGCGCTCTGCAGAAGACTGTGTGCACCAATGACTCACGATTGCGAATCTTCTGGTGGGTCCTGCTTCCTTTCGAACACCTGGCGCATCATGTAGTAGAAAGGCCACATCTTGACTGGCCTTTGGAAGCGTGGAGTGCGGAGGCGCCGATTCAGCAGCTCCTGCTTGCGTATTTTGAAGTACTTGTCACGCATGTTGCGCCACTTGCTCATTGCCTTGTTGCCTGTAAAATATTTTTCGCAGTATACTTTCTGTTTTGCCACATGTTTTGACAGCATTACCGAGCTCTTCTAACTGCTACATTATGTCTGACAATGTTAGATATCTCCTAATGGCCATATTCATTATTTCAATGATAGTACCGGTTTGTTTAGAGAAGTCCTATGTGTATTAACATGACCTATGAGATTGCGGGTGCGCGACGGGTTTCTCTCCGGCCGGTTTCCCTCCGGCACGGAGAGCGCGTGCTTCCCGAAATGGGCGTGGTTCGCTCTTTTCTCCGCACCGTGGCGCTCTTTCTTTCAGTAGAAAAGGCTGCCGCGCTGTTGGCGAAGCTGTCGAAATGTCGAGCCAAACTGTACGAAAAGCGAATGCAATGCTTGGGCATATATATTGTTACGGGGAATTGACTCAAATTGACTTGTTTTGCTGTAGACTAGCGCCGCCCATATTAGAGCGCTTATAATTGCGATGCCTCTGTAAGAAATCTGCATGCGCTCGAAACTATACTTCGAAGCTCGCGGGCTGTATAGTAGGGGGGGAAGGCACTGGGGAAAAACAAAGAAAAACGGCAGACCGCGGGAGACCTGCAAACGCGGGAGTCCTGCGCACTGGAAATAAAGGAGACTCCTCCGTTCATACGGTTCACGAGCGGAGCCGTCAATGTTGCCCCCTTTTGGCACTACAAGTCGAAGGCTTACTCGGAAGAGCGTCTGGCAAGAGCAGAGGTTTGTGCTTGGACGCGGGCAGACGCTGGAGGCTGCAATAAAGCGTACTACGGCTAACCGGACTATGACTCTTCCTTCCCCCTGCCACCATGCACTTGAGTCATCGAGGGGACCTATTTCGAACCTCAAACATCTTCCTTCCTTAGCTAGTGTAGAAACTAGTCGAGGAGAAGGAAATTAACTGGCGCAGTCGACGTGGCGTGAAGAGCTCCTGGTGAGGAAGGTGCTAAAGTCCGGAAAGCTGATAAGATGCTCACCGCCTTTGGGACTTGCTGGTGCGCTGTGAGGAGTAGCGTCAAGACGCTCACTGCTTCTGGAACCTGATGGTGCGCAGTGAGAAGCAGCATTGGAATTAAGCACGAGCCTGCTGATCAACTTTGGAGCCATGAGTTAGAAAGCGCAAGAGTACTGAGCGTCGTTAAACGAGAGGCGAGCAGAAGAGACAGCCGGCGCGGCTGACTTCAGACAAAGACAGGGGTGGTCCGGTCCTGCATCAAAGGATTCGTCGCTACCAGCGTTGGCGACGATACGGACGCCGTTCCCACCAACGTGGTCATCGGGCTACTCATCACTGCAAGGTGAGGCCTGCTTTGCGGACTCTCGAGGCCCCCAATTTTTTTTTTTACTGAATGCACTTGCGTTCAGGCACACTGTGGGAGATGGCGGACTCAGATAGAGATGCGAAAGGAGACAATGTTAGCGAATCAGATCACACCCGCGAGTTGATGTCTAAGATAGAAGCGTTGAAGCTCAAGGTCGAGCTGCAGAAAATGAGGTCGTCGCGTGCTTCATCATAGGTGCCGCAAAACCGGAACTGGCATTCTAGTATCACACGGTATGCAAAAGAGCTAGAAGCAGTCCTTGCGCCCATGCCCAATGATGAACCTATGATTGCCGTTTGGTTGAAACATGTGGACGCTCTTTTTGCGGCATTGAGTATACCTGAGGAAATACAGGGCATGATTTTGCTACCAATCTTTGATATGACAAGTTGTGTACGTTTGTTGCCAATCAAGCAGAAGCAGGGGTAATGTCGTATTCAGATCTGAAGTCTATAGTGTTAAAGGAGCTCCGTACGACTCCGAACGAGTACCGTCATATGTTTGTGGAAATCAAAAGAGAAGCAGGTGAGTCTTGGAGCCAAGTGACGGCGCGCCTAGAGAATATGTTCTCCTACTACTTGAGAAGTAGAGAGGTGGAGTCATTTGAAGATCTTCGGGAGTTGCTAATCGCTGATAGGCTAAAGAAGTTAATGCCAAGTGCTCCGCTCACTTTCACTTCAGCAGGAAGTAAAGGGCTGGTTAAAGCCAAAGGACATTGCAGAAGTAGCCGCCAATTTTGAGGAAAGCGTACGCAGCGGCAGGCACGGCCATTACTGCAGTTCCCAACCAAGAAATTTGAATTATGGGCCGCAAGCCAAACCAGTTACTAGGACAAGTTTCAGCCCTAATTTAGGAGCGTGTCTTGGCTGCGAGAAACGAGACCACTTTCTAAGAGATTGCGAGCTCTCACGTTACACAGCTGTTAATAAAGCAGAGGTTTTATGCGTAGCTCCGCAGAATGAGCGGTCATTTGAGAACCAAACCATGTCATCGCAGAGCTCTGCCGTTATGAAAAACTCGCTGATGGGGGACCCGCAGATCGATATTTTTGTGGAAAAAAAGCCCTATTTCGCACGCCTTGATTCAGGTGCTGATGTGACCATGTTGCAAGAGAATGAAGTGTCCGCTGAGATTTTGGGTCCGAGTACTGGCACAATAAGGTTAACCGATGCTTTTGGGTAAGGTGTTACCTCGCGTCTAGTGTGGGTACCTCTCGGACTTCCAGTCCCCACGATGAAGTGTTGCTGAGCCGGTGAAATTGCGATGCGCAGTGACCAATCACTTGAATACGAGTGTGCCCGTGATTACTCCCGCAGATTGCGAATGTCTTCGTCGTCACTGGCAAAAGCCACTGAAAGATCTAAAGGAGGGTAATGCGTGGGCGATCTGTGTAAGAGAGGATAGTAGACCGGAGCAGTATTCACTGATGAGAGAGCCAGAGCATGCGCAATGAGATTCTAGCCCTAGCGCTAACGCTGTGCAGCGCACACTGAAGAAACAAGACGGCCGAGCAAAAAAGCAGCAAATGACTACGTCCGCGTCAATTGTACCGCAGGCACAGTTGAGAAGTGTCGATTCCCCTGCGGCATGTACTAATGTGGAGAGTGAGCGGCGTGGTCCATTTGGTGGAAATTATCTTGACTGAGAGAAGGAACGCGATGAGTCGTTTGCTGATGTGCAATGCCGGGTGAAAGAGGGTTCGCGCGTCAAGGGAACTGGTGGGGAGCAGTTAGACGGGAAGCTGTCACGCCAGTCAGTGGTACGAGAGTTGCACCAAGACGAAGTGTTGGTGTACAACAACTGTTGTGGCAGTAACTTCTCAGAAAAGAAAAACGAGAAAGCGCGCTAAAAAGCGGCTAGCATTGGGGTTCGGCGGTAGAACGAGGGTGGTGGTGGTAAAAACTTTATTTAAACAAGGGATTCGGGCATGCCTTGGTGTGCGAAAAATGGGCAACTCCACCTCAGTAATCATCTTTGTTGATTACTACGCGACGAGATAGATGATCTGTTTTGGGACGTCGATGAAATGTTTTCTCTACAAAAAGCGATATGAAGTGTGTTACAGGTGCGGTGAGCTGGGACATCGATCTGACGTGTGCGACAACCCGCAGGCAAAATGCAGAAGTTGAGGAGTGGCCAAGGACCATGAATGTACACCGAGGGGCCGCAAGGAGCATGTAACCAGAGACAAAAGGTGCAAAGAACTTTTACGGTCACCTTATATAATGAAGAAGTGATAGTGGGAAATGAAGCTTGAAGAAGCACGGGAGCTGGAGGAACGATGCAAGGCTGAAGCGGGCACGCAGCAGCACAGCAGGACAGACGGGGTTCAAGATCGTTTGAGGCGTAAATCCAAGCATTACAGTGGATCAAGAGGGCGCTCGGAATCCTTCCCAAGATTGCCATTGCTAAAGAAGCAGGAAGTTTGTCACAAGGCACAATGTCAGCACTGTCAGTGACTGCGCCCCAAAGAAGTCGAAATCTACTGGACCACAGGTGGGTTGTGTAACTGAGGTCTCCCAGGATACTAATAAAGAGATGATTAATGCCCTTAAAAAGCAAAAGAGGATATTACTGGATCAAAGAGCGGAATCGCGCAAACAGCTCGATTAGATTAAGGCACAACTAACCAGTAAACCAGGGAAGGAGCTGGAAAAACCTCGGGTAGCAAACCAACCGCTTTTAAAGAAGAAGAGGGCTAAAGAAACCGAAGTTGAAGAAAATCACAGAGCGAGAATTGAATTGCAGTCATTTCAAGGCTAAGCTGTACTGGAACAAATGAAACAAGTACAACACTATTGAGAAAATTAAGGCTGAATTCGCTAGTACAGACCGACAGATAGAATGCCTATGCCAAGTGCTCAAGCTCAAACATGATGACTCTGCGCCCCTGTAATAATACGACTCGGCAGTGGAACTGTAGAGGTTGCTCACGTGAACGTGTGGTTTTACAATCTTTTCTTACCAACGCCGATCGACAATTGGTCCAGGAGTGTGGGATCCAGGAGTGTGGGGGAAATGCTAAATTAGCTCGTTACAAATCTTTTGCCAGGTCAGGTAAGGGTACCCAAGTTACAACCTTTGTAAAGAGATAAATTACGGCATTGCAGCACGTGATGGAGAATTCGCAGATTGATCATTGTTGTATCCTCTCGAATATGCGGATAAGCTGCAATATCTAGTAAAGAATCGTCTTAAATAAAGAGAGCATGTGCAAGTTGCTCGGTCGGAATCTGTTAAATATTATTTCGGAAGAGCGACGAAGACGAAGAAGAGGACTAGAACGTGCCCAGATTGCGCCCCCACATTCCATTTTGCTTTTTTTTAGTTTTGAACCCAGCGTCTAATAAACAAGACATTCTCTACTACAGCTTTGCTTCCTGGTTTTCAACATTATGGTGCCGTGATCAGGATTCAAACAAGCAGTTGAAGACCCCTAACAAAGAGGCGAGCTCCCTGAAGAAGACTGCTGATCGATGCGGTGATGCTGGGCAACGAGTGAACGGTCCACATCATCACGAGACTTCAATTCCCGACGTGAAGACATGGAAAAGCTATGACAGAAACGCTCGATGGTTCGAGCGGCGGTCACCAGGATCATTAACGATATGATGACTCTTAGGTAGACAGAATCAACGCCGACCGGTGAGCTACGCGATCTTCTTAACCTGTTG